TTTTTGTAGAATTAACGTTTCCGTCACGTAACTTCCAGCGTACGTTATTTCACATTCTGAATTTTTTTAATGATTAAATTATCAAATGGTGTCTCTATATTTAGAAATTAAATTTATTTTGATCTATTAACTTTTTAATATTAATTTAAACCCTTTATATATTAAGAAAAAAGCATTTTACAAGATGTTTTTTTAAAGTTTAAGTAATATTTTGAAAAACTAATTTTTAGATTAAAAATTTTATTTATATAGATTATATATGCTAATTTTTAAATTAATCTATTAAGGTTAATTAGTTTGTTAATTATACAAAATTTATTACCGTTAAATATATATTAATAAATAAATTTTTTTTAATTAAGAGACTATAAATGTTAGATTGATTTAAAAATTGATATACATCATCTACATAAACAAATTTTCAATCTAACAATTTATTTTTTAAAAATAAAGTTAAAAATAAATTTTTTTTAATAATAAAATAGATAATTAAAATTAAAAAAATAATGATAAAGGTTGAACTAAAAAAATAATACAACTAGAATTTTTCCGACATGTATATACAAAAGTTAAAGATGTAATTAATGCATATTTTTTATATTAATTGATATTAAAAAAGTAAATATTAAATTTTATTTAATTAACATAGTAAAATTAATTTAATTCAAATGATATTGGTAATGAATTTAAAATTAATTGTTGTATTTTTTATACATTAATATAAATATTGTAAAAACCTATAAAGATATTAATGTTTTTAAAAAATTACAATGATAACAAAAAAACTACTATTAAGTAAACAGAAATGATATTTAATCAGCTAGTTTTAATGGCACATGGACGGGTGCCGTCTAATTTTGGGTAATTGTGTAAATGATGTGAAGTTTAGGGGTTGATATACTCGTACTGTATGTTGGATGACTAACACTCAAAGATAACTAAGTTCAAGGGCATCCAGCGAGGGCAAAAAGATATTAGATATAAAATTATTTTAGCTCTTTATTCACCAAAATCAAACCCATCTTTTTGTAGACTTTCTCTTCTCTAC